ATAAATAAATATATAAATATATTATACTTTTAACAGAAACGAAGAAAAGAAAGAAGCGTATGATTTCTTTTTAGAAAGAAGATTTTTTTCCGATGATTATAATCAAAGAACTATACACTGATTTTGTTCCATGGTAAAAGCTTCTCTCTAGTCTTATTGATTTTAATTAATAAGCACGTTCACGATGACGTGATGATGGATATCGATTTGACGACGACGATGGTGGTGGTGGTGGTGGTGGCGATGGTGAATGATAATGAGAGCGACTTCCATTTTGCGAACCATGATGACTGCTACTCTGATGGTGATCACGATCACGATCACGATCACGATCACGATCACGATCACGATCTCGATCGCGGTCTCTTGAGTGTTGATTTTGTTGTTTGTATTGTTTAGCTGCTTCATGATGATCATAGAAGCATCGGTCCGAGTAACGGCAAAAACCATGACGAAGATAATACCGACACGGTAATGTCCTTGAGATTTTTAAAAAGAAAGTAAATAAATTAGGAATGATTAAATAATTCATTGTAAACAAAAATGAAAATAATTGAATCATACAAACGTTTAAGGCTAAGACTGGTGTGATAGAGAACACAGCACATCTATACATACATTTGAGTATTTTGATGTTAAAAAAGTAATATGTGTTTATATATATGTATATGTATATATATATATGTAAAATGCTTTGTTTGATCTGCCAAAATTAATTGGATATAAATTCTAACAAACAGCCAGAGTAATGACGATACTCGTTTAAATGATAATTAATATTAAGTAAAATAAGTCTGTTTAAGAGCAATGGGCTTAATCTGAGGAAGAACTCGATTGACGAATAAAAACACAGGTCTAGAAGAATGACACAGTAAAGATAACTGCAGATATATTTAAAAAATATTCCCTAGTAGTAATTTTCAATTTACAAATTGTTTTCTTTCTTAATGATTTAAGGAAAAATTCAATATTACTTACTTTAAATGACTTTTATGTTTTTTAACAATACGATATTTGTCTTCTTTATTATCAAACCACTGTTTACTCGGTGTTATAAATGCTGAACGCACTTTACATACGGGACAACTAAAAAACAATTATTTTTATATTTTATTTCTAAAACCATCAATATTTTTCATTACCTTTCTGATTCGGCATTACTATATTTTGAACGTTTCCATGAAACAACGCATTCATAACAACTAAAATGTGAGAATTGTTGATCTCGGCATTAGTTAAAGGCGAAAACTTACAAAATATGATCGCAATTATCGAGTACCCCATATAAACGTTTAGCTGCTTCGACATCATTTGAACAAATAGCACATATGTGTCGGCCAGCATCGGCACCACTATCACGACGACGGCGCCGTTTCGATGATGAATTTGCCTGACGAACCGGCGACGGTGAACGATGGCTACCGTTATTATTACCACCAGTTTTTCGAACATCAGGTGATTTTGAACCTTCGACTGAACTACGGCTTCGTGATCGGGATGTAGCCGAACGTGGCGAAGGAGGTGAACGACTAAATTTTTAAAAAGTTAAATTATATAAATTTTTTATCTAAAATAAACTACTATTGCTGATATCATACTTGGAATTTTCTCGTCGACGTTTTTGTGTAGCTGTTGCTGGCGGCTGACGAGTGTTGTGCCCATTACTCCCTTTTTCATCAATAAGAACAACACTTGACCGTGAACGGGATCGTGGTAACGGATCCGGTGATATTGACCGTTCTGAACTCATTCTTAAATGTATGTCGATGCAAACGCACAATAATCTGAATCTGAAAGAAGAAAAATTTCCTTATAGAATTTCATATCAATAAATAAATAAACAAACGAATAGGCTGAGAGAAACAAATGTCGTATATGAATAACTAACAATTGCTTAGCAAAGAAAAAAAACTTTGAAGAAACATTTATTAGAAAATATTTTTGAAAATGATTTTTTTCTTCATTTAATTTATTAAAATATAGTTTTGATCAAACAATTTTTTTTGTTTAATAAATAAGGCAAATATTTCTATAGATGTCACAACAGTGCATTGATTTCTAAAAAAAACGACGTTGCTAAGTAATAAAATTTAAAGGGAATGCAAATGATCTGAGTGTGAAAGTAAAGTTTAGTTGAATATTTAAAATCGACTTTGATTTCGATTAGATATGGATGAACGCCACTGGTGGATTGCAGCAAAAGTTGAACAAACATTTGGCATTGATAAAACTTCAACTGCTGATGCGTCATTTACTGAATCGTTTTTTCGTCGACCTGATGTAGTCGAGAAAATGAATAGTTTTTTATTTGCAAAAGGCTCAAATAAATTATTTTTTTATACAACGCGTGATCGCCTTGCGTCAAAAGATATAGCATGTTGTCAAACTATTGTTGATGAATTTGCTATTGTTAATGAACCATTGGATAATATTATTTTACTATATTTTATTCGTTCGGATACCAGTTCAGATGCAACGATATCACCTGCATCTGATATTTATTGTGGAGAAATCAAACATCCAGCACAAATGACACCGTTGCTATACTCGCAAACCTTATTACAATTATTTAAGAAAGAATTAGTAGCTAGCTCGCATGATAGTTCTAATAGAACAGCTACAAAAGCGGCTATTGTTACTCAAATGGAAAGATACATCGATGGAATTGGTGCAACATGCCATTCTTTACAAAAAGATAAGAATTTAGTAAGTATCCAACAGTTTAAGAAGTGTTAATTTCTTGTAAAAAGTCAAACAAATATTCTATGTAAACTATAATCTTGATTTTTTATAGTTTGTGTAGAAAAAATTTGTTAAATATATATAAAAAGATTTAAAAACTAAAAACTAAATGATAGAATTAATTAACTTACGATGGGATGTGTTTAAAAAGAAAAAATAATTGTTACAAACAAAAACAAAACACCATGTCAGAAAATATCCGCGAAATGAATATGACCTGTGTATTTAAGTAGAGAAACATGAATATTTCTACCTTGTATTGCAGGATAAACAAAGATTATGTTTCAAGTATTACAAAATTGACACTAGACCTTCTCATTATTTAACTAGTTTGTACTTCGAACTAAATATCTAGGCTCACTGCCCCAAAGCATCTTAAAGAAACATTGAACTAATGTGTAGAACTTTGATAAGAAGTACTGCGAGATGCATTCAGTGGAACATAATCTACATTATGTTTCTTTGAGTGTAGATGTGAAACAATGAAGAAAATGAATCATTTCATCATAAAAAAAAGTAGTAGCTTTCTTTTACAAGTGTAGAAGAAATATTTGGATTCTAATATAATCCCTTCGATTGACTTACGTCACATAAATGTTGATCATCCATTTTAGTCATGTGAAGACGGAACTCACATATTCTACAGCAAATAGTCTTCCGTTTGATATAAACTTATCCTTCAGTTTAAGAGAACAGATCTATTTTTTAAGAAGGAATCTATAGTTGCGATGACACAAGGAATTATTCATATACTTCAACTGTTTGTTCTAAGCTTTTATTGATTTTTTTCTGTTAAAATTGTTCCAAGTCAATCATAACTATTATTTATTTGTAAAATGAACAAAATCTTACTGTTATTTAAAGAACTTTTAATCAGAAGAAGATAAAGTGCTACAGTTTTCAACATTTGAAAGAGAAGTACCACGACTATTCAGTCACCATAATAAATATTATCCTTCGATATATTTCTTCGGGTTCGGTAGAATTCGAGCTCTGAATAGAAGCAAGATATTCGAAATGTCGATTAGGCTTATAATGCTGAAGATACCTTTTTATAAATATCAACTTTTAGAAAATCGAAAGAAATTTGTTGAAGAATAATGTTTTTTCTTTAAATCTCTCTCAATAACTTGGATGTTGCTATTGTCAATCATGAAAATCACCGTTCTCCATCGTCTTACTATTCAAATTGATTTAGATAACTGTATGGTCTTTTTTATTTTACAATGTTTAGTGGTCAGTAGTTTGATTTCATATAAAAACTTTATCATAAAAACTAAACAGTCAAGTTTACCAATTATTGTATAATTACATTTTGCTCTTATTTATCTGAACTCTGTGATTGAAACAAGACATTTAAGTAAAGACATAGCATTTATCCTTAAAAACAAATAAAACACTTTCAGAATATACAACTGTTGAAAATACTTCGTAAATACTCAAATATATTAAACTACTTCTTTTCTCTTCAGCAAATAATTCAATGAGTTCAATATGTTTAATATGTCTATTAAATTAGCAGATTTGCAAATGTAGTTTAGTACGATAGCAAATGCAATATGTTTTTATATAAAATATGTATTTTTCCGGTAAATAATTACTAGCTTAAGAGCTAAACTAAACATTATAAATTATACGAGTTTCATAATTCGATCAGAGATCATTTTTTGTTATACACAATTTTGTAGCCTTCGAAGTATTTATATTAGAAGAAAATTATTTGTCCACCACAATTATTTTTATTTGATTTTAGCTGCTAAAACGAGTTGATGCTGAAATGATAAGTCAATTAAAACAAAATGTACGTTCAACAGTTGATACTCCTGTCATTCGTAATTGTGAACCATTAGTTTTATCCTGGATTGCAACTATTGAGAATGTTCTTCAAGATATATTCGGTGAAGAGTAAGTTTTATATTGGATAATTCTTTTTTCTTTTGTTTTTCAAATGAATTATTCCTTGTTTCAATATAATAGCTCAATGCATCCATCACTTGGTCCATTGAGTGAAATTGATCGATGGACACGTAAACAACGTTTAATTAATAATTTACTTGAACAATTAAAATCTAAAGAATGCAAAGCAGTTATTGGTGCATTGATTACGTCAAAATCAAAAGTTATTCGAAAATGGAAAGCAATTGATGTTTCGTAAGTTTAAGCTCTTAGCCATTTCGTATGAAAATATTTTGGTTTATTCTATTAATAGAATAACTGAAGCACAAAACGAGTGCCGTGATAAAACAAAATTTCTTGAATCGATTCGTCGTTATTTAGAAAGTTTAACTGAAGATGCGCATCCACAAAATTGTGCTGTAAATATTCTGCCTGCTTTATGTGATGCTATGCGAACTGTCGAGTCAGTATCAAGATACTACGCTAGGCAAGGTTATTTAGGCTTAATTTTTACAAAAGTTACCAATCAATTAGTTAAAATTTGTAAACATCATATCGATGATGATTTAACACAATTATGGCCCAAGCTTTTTGATGAAATTCAACATGGACAATTAATTGATGACATCAAAGAAAATTTTCATCTTGATAAACGAGTATGTTACAAAACGGAGTACTAATTAAAACTAATTGCATCCTATGAATAACTAAAATTATGTCTGATTTTGAGCTGATATTTTAGGTACATGTGTAAATTACAACGATAAACCCTAGTTAATGCATTAACGCGTTTTTGGCTAATTCTAATATGTTTCAGTGATAGTTTGGTAATCATCTTCTTTTCGAAAAAGTATATTTACACGAAATATATACTAAAACAAAATTCTATATCTCATTCTGATATCTACAAATAACTATTATTTTTACTAATATTAAAGTTAGTTTTAAATGTCTTCCTCCTTATTGTTATGAACGAGCTCATAATACATAATCTAGATTATTTTACTTTGTATTCTCTGACACAGCAATTCGTTTAGTGTAATACTGATTTCATTTCGTTCAAGTCGCCATTGAAATTTTCTAACAAAATTTTAAAATAAACCATCTTTTTAAAAATCCGTATTTGCTTTTCAAAAGACATTTTCTTGATGCATCTAGAGAAAATATAGTATCTCTTTTTTTGTGCTGCTTCGTAAAATTATTACGAGCAGCGTTCGAATTAAAGATAGACACGATATTTATCTTTCCAATAACGCATTTAAGTGAAGTAAATACAGGAGGAAATATAATTCAAATCGAATCAGTTAAAAGATATTTTACTCATAACTCAAGCATACGTAACAAGGCTTTAAAACAACCGATGACACATACATGATTATGATAAGAGCTTATTGTCGAATAAATGCAACCAAAATATCCACACAATATCATAAAGAATATTGATAGTTCGCGAAGTGCAGCTATTATTTTATTCAGCAATATGATTACTGTATTTCTTTTTATTGATTTAAAATAGGATGTAAAACGCTTTCGTGAAGTTTCAAAAGGATCCATACCATTAGAAACAAATTCGATAAATGAAAGTACATTTCAACATTTAAAAAATTGTCTGCTTTTACAAGCATCGTACAAAGAAGCATTTCGTACTTTACGAGATGCACTCGGTGGTGCACAAATGTTAACTGCTACAGCATTTTCAGCGGCATCGTCATCAACATTAAGTGGGGCCACGTTAGTTGAAAAATGAATTTATTATTGATTTTAAAAAAATGCAATTTTGATCTATTTTGTGAACAGGAGTGGTCATCCAACTGAAAGTCATTCAAGATATCATATCAGACACTCAAGTGGAATTTTAATGTCGCAAGATGAAAAAATTTTTCAACATTTCGATGAATTTTGTCGTCGAATTGAACAAATGCTTGATATGACAGTTATACTCAATCAATTGTCACAGTAAAGCATATATACAACTTCTTTTTTTTCAAATTCATTATAAATTTAATTTAATATAGACTTGTCACATCAACTATTCGATTGCCGAAACCAAAACGAACCGACTTAACTGAAGCAGAATCTGCAGTAAATCGTGCAGGTATAATAAAATAATAAATTCCATATATATTTGCATGTAGTTTCTAACTATTTCATTCGTGTGTTTCTGTTGTTAGATGTACGAAAACGTGAAGAAAAAGATAATGATGGTGAAGAAAGAGAAGACGATAATAATGATAATAATAATAACAATGTTGAAACTGCATCGGATGAAGGTATTGATGATGAAGGTAGTGATTCAGGTACAGCACCAAATGATTATCTCATTTCAACTGTATCAAAAGCTGATCTTGAACTAATGAGTATGCCATTTTATCTTAGCGAAATTTCAAATTTTATCTTTCGTTTTTTTTTCGTACTAAAAAGAAAAACATTGTGATGATGATGATTCTTTGTCATTAAGCGCATTTATTGCTAATGGTGTTATACAACTTAAATCAATTTTAACATCAAATAACATATCGAATGAAGATGAAAAAACAAAGTATTGATTAAAATATTTGTGTTTTTAATATTGATATCAATTTTTTATTTTCGAAGATTTGATTTAATTCATCAACATTTTACTTTATTAACACGTGAATTCGAACAATACATTGGTGCTTATGTTAATGTGATGTTTTCAAAAACAAAACGTACACATGAAGGTTTAACTATTTTAGCCAGTTTTGAACCTGTTTGTGAACGACAATATCTTCGTTCAATTCTTCGAGATGCTTACGTTAATTTATTTCTCAGTAAATTTAAAATCGTAGAAAAGAAAGGATTGCTTTTGCAAAGAGAAATTTTTCTGTTAAGATTTTGAGAATGATTTGTTGGATATTCGAACAGTATTTGAAGCACACAAAGATAATCCACCATTACCTCGAAATTCTCCTCCTGTACCAGGTAAAATATGATGAAACTTTGTTTTTATTGTTCGAAAACGAAAATATTTTTCACAAGGTGCTATTGCTTGGTCACGTACACTATTAACAAAAATTGAACAAGCAATGGATGTGTTTAAATTAAATCGACATATTGTTACATTAGGGAATTTTCCAATAATCTCAAAACTTTATAATCGTACAGCTAAAGCATTACTTGTCTATGAACAATTGTTATTAACACGATGGAAAGAAAAGATTGATGCATGGAAAGATCATTTAAATGCTAATTTGTTATGCTTAGTTGATGATGAAGAAGAAAATCATAAACGAATAGAAATAAATTCAAATATTGAATTATTTTCTATATTTGATGAAGTTAAATGGTTTAAACGACTTGATGTTGATATTCCCAAAGCAGCGTATATTTGCATGCAAAAGGTATTTTGTTTGTTTACTTAATTAATCATTAGTATTATTATATTTAGTGAATTTGAAAACAGTTTCTAAGTATGAGTTAAGTTTGTGTTTTACTTGTTGGAACCGAGCAGATTCCATTGTTGAAAAGATTATTCCTAATGATGAACGATGCTTTAGACAAGATTTTATTCGACAGTCAAGATTAATTGAATTAACATGTACCAGATAGATGTAGTCATTATTGCAAAACTTCTCAAACGATTCATAACTGCTTTTTTCTTATCATCTTTTTATCCTATAGTAAATCGGCTAGATCTGTGAAAAACTAAACCACTTTAACTTACGATACTGAAGTAACCAAATAGTTCTGCTACATACGACTAATGGAGCACAGTACATTCACTAACACTATATGTATATAGTTTCATTTTTTAGAATAATTGCGTATAAGAATTCAGCTATGTCAATCATTTATGAGTTGGTTTTCACAGTTTTAAAAATAATTGATTCTTTGAAATATTCCAATATATATATCCGTATGTAAATACAAGAATGAATATTTTTTTGATAACAGAATAAATCATCTGTAATGATGAAATTTTCGAAACAGAATTACAAGTATGAAAAGTCTGATTTGTAAGTGAAATAGTTTTAGTTGTATGTACAAAAACGGCACCTTATAATTGAAACAATGGAATATTACTTTGTAAAATTCAAAGAAAATATGATTCAAGGCACTTTTTTATTCAATTGGTTTTAAATTATTTCATCAAATCAATATTGAATATAATTACCAGTTTCAGAATAGTTTTCTCTTTCAAAATTCACCGGAAGCAATGCCATACTGTTTTTTACTAATAATAATACTCGGTTTTATTTATAATCCGAAGTAGAAAGTCACTATTGTGTTGTGTAAAATCAGATGTATTTCTTTTTGTAAAATCGAATGCCATAATCATTCTCTTATTGATTAGCTCATCAGAAAAGGATGAGATTAATCGTTTTTTAATGCTGAAAAGACGGTATAAAAAAATTATTTTTACTTTTGTCAAACAGTACATTGCAGTGTCTATTAAATCTAGACTCTTTGTTTCAGTTCATCAAGTTTTTCTTTTTGAAAACTTAAAAAGCGCACATTTCTACGCGTAAAATTATTTTCCCTGTCGGCTTTATTTGATAGGATAATGAAGATTAGTTTTTCTTTATCAAAATACTTTCGAAAGATTGAGGCAAAACCATGCTCTTTCTTTTTCATAAGTAAGATCATTTGTTTACAATTCACGCCATTAACGTAATCAATTTCTAAAAATGATATTTGTCTTCATCAGCTAATAGACTAGCTAATAAAAAAAAACGGTTTAACCGTTTTGCAAAACTTGAAGCAACAATAGTATATTTTAATTTAAAAAAATCATAAAAAACTGGATGAGAGAAACAAATTTTAGTAGAAATAAATAATAAAACTTTTGACTTAATATTTTCGTTCTATCATAGGAACAAACATTTAAACATTACAAATCTCTACTCGAAGATCTTCTCTCACGTTTTCGAGATTTACAATCTCGCATTTATTCACCATTTTATCCTCTGTTTACTACTTACTTGTCGCAAGTTTATCGCGCATTTGAACCCGGTTTACATACATTAACATGGTCGAGTCTTAACATAGATGCGTATATAGCTAAAGTTCATCGTGCGTTGGATCGTTTTGAAGCATCCATATCGAATATAAATACATTAATAGCAAAAAAAATCGATGACATACTCGATAATGAATTAATGAGCTCTTCGTGTCTTTTATTTTCAATTGATTATGTTCGCTCAAAATTATGGTCACCAACAGAATTTGTTGAAAATATGCGTTTACATTTAAATGAACAGTCAATACTAATTGGTGAAAAATTAAATCAAATTCAACAAACATTTCAAGAAGTTGAAGATATGTTAAAATTAAATATGACTGGACAAAAATCACGTTCATCAACGTCGTCAACACGAAGAGCAAAAACAGCAACACCTGCCGTTACAAACGAAGCTATGATGGCATTTATTCGATACTATCATGATAAAATGAATCATTGTATACGAAGAATAATTGAACGAACATTAATGACTTACATTGATTTACTTTCTATTAGCGAAACAAAATATTTAATTGATCAAACGAAATTAATTCGATTTTTATTTGAAGGACAAGATAGCGACGAAGAAATAGTTCATATTGATACACAACGAATCAGGTATATATATATATAATAATTTCATTTTTATTATCATTCTATCATATACATTTCTATTCTTTGTAATATAGAATTAGTTGTACTATGCAATATGCTATACCCGAAATAATTATTGATCCACAATTAAAATTTTGTCAAGAACGTATTTGTGACATTGCTTATGCGATTATTGGCTGTGAAAAACAAATTAGTCGTAAGAATATTTTTGTCTATAAGAATTTAGTTAAAGCATCATTTGGTTTCTGTTATCATGTATTCCATTTATTTCGATGTTATCCATGAAGAAGTACCATCAATTAGTAATTAATAATAAACATTAAAAGATAATTGTTTTTAATATAAGACGACAGAGAACGACTAAAGTGACTTTAATCAATTGTGATTAATCCCATAGAAAATTACACAATAATAATATAAAAGAGATAACATTTCATAGTTAAAGACAGTGACTGTTAATGGTATTCAAGTAAAAGTTTTCCTGTTTTCAAAATGCCTAAAAAAAACAGACTTACCTCTTCGAGTATAACTGGGATTACTGTTAATATTTTTATCTTTTTGTACCCATTTTATGTATCATATTAATTTGATGATCATGAACAATTTTTCATCGATGTATATTGACAAACGAAAGATATATTAATACTAGTGGATTCGGAAATATGAATGAACAACAATTTTTGCGTAGCGTATTTTCTATGTTGAAATACGACAAAATACTAAATATATGTATATCGTATTTGATATGAAAGTTTTCTTGTCGTAGCTTTTCTATCTATTGTATATTCACATTTAAAATAATGTTCTAAAATAATTAATCTTCTAGAATCTGCTGGTTTCGACAATGAGACTGCCGTTCGTTTATCATTAACAATTCAAGCAGATGCTCATTTATCTAATTTAATTAATCGTTTATCATCAATTGATACAGATGTAGCGCGTACATCTCAAAGTGCTGTACAGTATATTCGTACATTTGATTTTCTGTGGCGTGACGATTCTCAATTGCAATATCAAACAGTTAATCAACAAGATGATAATGGTGATGATTATACGATAACTGTTGATCCTGATGTTATTCCATCGATAGAAGTTCGTAACTATTTACAAAATGAACTTCAACGCTTGTCACAAATTGAAGGACGTCTTAATATATTACCACATGAAATTCAAATTGGTTGTATTTGTGTTGAAACAATTCCAATTTTAAATTCATTGAAAACATTTGTATTCAGTTGGAAAACTCAATATGCTAAATTGTTACATAGATTTGCTAAGTCTGAACTTGATCAAGTTGTTGCTTATCGACAACAAGTTCAATTAAGATTTAATGATGATGTATCGACACTTGAACAATTAGATGAAGCTTTAATTCTATTAGAAGAATTAAGTGAAATGGAAAATAAAATTGAGTAAGATAAAATCACATTCGTTTTTCTACTTAATTTGATTTTTTTTTCTTTATCTTTTAGTTCAATTTATTTACCAATTGAAACAACTTATATACTTCTTGATAAAACGTATAATATTCCAATTCCACGTGATGAACTTCAAGAATGTTCACAATTGCGAGATAAATGGTCAGAATTAATGTCAAATGCAGATCGCGTACGAAGACAATTATTACAAGAGCGTCGGCAACAATTAGAACAAGAATTAGATAAACAAGTTAAATCATTTGTTGTTGAAGTTATTCGATTTCGAAATTCATTCGATGTCGAAGGACCTAATGTACCAGATTTAGGACCATTAGAAGCAGCTAAACGCTTAAAAGATTTTCAAGGACAATATAAAATTATGCATCGACGTAAACAAACACTAAATTCAATATCAACTTTATTTAGTTTACAACCAAAACAATTTCCTGAATTAGATAAAACCGGAGAAGTAAGTTTATACTGTTCAATTCTTAGTTTATGATAATAACATTGCAAGGAACAAACAGTAACGAAAGTATACAATCGAATATTTTTAGGAGAAAGTTGAAAATAGGTGAGAATTACGATAAATAAAAATGCATGCTTAGCTACGCTTGCTTTTATCTATATACTTATTAATTTCGTCGATTATTCATTGAATTAGTTTTTTTTTTCATTTGGTTTTATCATCGATTATTATTTTATAGGAGCTGCTATTACTTGACCAACTTTATATATTATATAAAAAGTTAATTGCATTTGATACAACTTTTCGCGCAACGCTCTGGTCTGATGTTGATTTAAATCAAAGTAAAAGTGAACTTAATCAACTCTGGGCAGAATTTTGTGATTTACCATCAAAATTACAAGAACGTATTTGGACAGCGTATTTTGATTTAGAAGGCCATTTAAAAAAATATCTTCAATTGTTACCATTATTATTTATGTTAAATGCTCGAGAAATTCGTAGCCGTCATTGGTTAAAAGTAATGCAAATAACAGGATGCTCATTTCAATTAGAATCAACTGTATTTAAATTAAACGATTTATTAGATATATCATTGGATAAGTATCAAAACGAAATTTCTGCTATTTGCTTTTCGGCACAAAAAGAACTTGAATTGGAAATAAAAATGCGTAGCATCGAAGAAGAATGGACTGAACAAATACTTAATTTTGAACCCTATAAAGATTATGGTTTAATTCTATTAGAAAAACGTTATGTTGAAAATTTGCTTGAACATTTAGAAGATGGTGAAGAAACGTAAGTTATTTCTATTATACATATACTTGCTTTTTTGTGCGTAGGACGAAAAAAAAACAAATTATTATTTTAGACTTGCTCAAATGTTAACAACACGTTTTATTGAGCCTATGCGTGAAGAAGTAGCATCATGGTCTGAAAAATTAAAAGCTATAGGTGAAATTCTTGAACTTTGGCTTGAAGTTCAAGATATGTGGTTAGGTGCTGAAAATATATTCAATAATCCATCAGCTGGAAAAGATATATCATTAGAATCTAAACGATTCGTACGTGTTGATAAGACGTGGTTAAAAACTCAACGGCAATCATCTGAAATTCGTAATGTTTTACAATGCTGTTTAAGTGAGCCACCAAAGAAGGGTATATTAAAAGAAATGCAAAAAGAATTAGAAATATGTAACAAATCAATATCATTATATTTGGATCGAAAACGTCAGATATGTCCACGTCTTTATTTTCTTACTAATCGCACGTTAATATTATTACTCAGTCGACAAGATACTGTTTATTATGTAAAACAACAATTTCAATCGATATTTAATGGAATTCGTGATCTTAGATTATCTGTTAACAATATGGATCAATCGAAAATTGATGAAGAACGACGGGTAAGTTTTCTATAAATGGTGTCAATGATAATTTGAATTCTGGTTTGTTTATCTATTAATTTCTTTTTCTTTTTCTTTTCCTCACTTTGATTAGACAACTGCAACAAGTGAATCTCGTTCTCATGGTGAATTTGTTGTTATAAATCAACAAGATATTATACAAGTCATGAGTGATGATGGTGAATGTATGTCATTATGTCGTCCTATACCACTACAAAAATCTGTTGATCAATGGATTAGTCGTTTACAAGACGCTGTTGCTGAAACAATTCGAACAGATATTTCTTCATGTATTAAAGATCTTGATAATGGTTTACCATATGAAGAACTTGTTGCTAAAGTATTTCGTAGATTGATAAAGAAATTTATATAACTTTGTTTTTCTTTTATCTAGTATACATGTCAAGTATCATTAGTAGGATTATTGTATGGATGGACTCGTGAAGTTGAACAAGGTATTATTGAATGTAGAAATGATCGAAAGGGATTAAATACAGCGTCAAAACGTTTTACATCATTAATACAAAAAATACCATCGACATTATCACGTTTGCAATGGAAAACACCAGCACAACCAGTTTTGCCCATACATAAATTACGTTTAGAAGGACTCCTTTCGGTAATATTCATTAAATAGTATTCATTTTATTTTGCAACTGAATTTCTCTTTCTCTTTTTTCTTTTTTCTTTATATGAAAAGCTAGCAGCATTTTTACGCGATAATTTCGATGCACTTAGTTCACGTCGACGTGAAATAAGCCAAAAAGATTTTGATTGGCGACGATGTTTTCGAGTTTATCCACAAACATCTTCTACAGGATCCGAAGTTAAATCTATCGATGGAAGTTTAACATCATCAAATATCTTTGCTGAGCCGGTTCGTATGCAAGTATTAGATGATGCATTTCCTTATGGAAATGAGTTTTATGGAATTCATCAAACATTATGTATTACACCAGCAACAGAAAAATGTTTTCTTGGTGTATGGCTTGCTTTATCTTTTAAACGACCTGTTATTGTACAAGGAAATACAGCTGTTGGAAAAAAATATACAATCATGGTATTATTTTCGTAGAAATGATTCCTTTGTTTTTTAACGATTACTTCGTTCATTTTTTATTATTATTATTATACAGAGTTTGGCTCGTTTTCTTGGTCGATTCGTTGCTACATTCGAATGTTCTCAACATGTTGATGCATTAGCTGCTTGCATGTTTACAACTGGATTAGTATCAGTCAGTTTATACTTCTTGTGTAAATAAAAATAATAATATTATATTTTGAATAATTTAGGATGGTTGTTGGGGTATTTTTAATAATATTCATACTCTACCAGTGAATGTTTTATCTCCACTTGCTGAATATATAACCTTAATTTCCGATGCTCTTCGAGCAAATAATGCATCTGCAACAATTATTTCAGAAAGCAAAGAGGTTTGTAAAGATCATTCTATTTATTTTATCTATATATCTATATATCTATATATATTCTTGAAGATTCCTATACGAGTATCTGTTGGTATAATTGCAACACGTAATCCTTTTGCTGTTAATTCAAACCATGACAACCATTCTATTTTATTATCTGAAATTCGATCTCGTTTTCGTATTGTTTCAATCGTTAAGCCCGAAGTTGATCAAATTTTTCGCATAAAATGTTTCGAATATAACTTCAAAAACCCAAATGTTATTGCTGAAAAAATTTCTCTTCTCTATGAAATAATTCGGTTATATTTGTAAGTTTTTAATTGATTTTAATTATTCTTTCAAAAACAACAACAAAAGAGAAAATAATTTAGACCGATTGATCAACGTTCGATTATTTCTGTAACATCTTTTGTTGATTTACTTCAATATGTAAATAATCTAAAAAAACCTGCTAATTCAAGACCAAATAGTATGGCATCAAGCGGACAGAAAATCGATGGTACTCATATTTAATAATTTTATACTTTCATAATAATCATTGTATTTTGTGGGTTTTTTTTACTGTCTAGATGCTAAACGTCCTTTAACGATGAAAACAAGTTCTTATACTGGTGTCAAATCGGATCAATTATTAATAGCTCAAGCATTTATTGATGTTATCGGTGCTCGACTAAATCCTGATGTAGAATATTTATTTCGATTTTTTCTTCAAAGTTAAAATAAGAATGATTTTCTTCTTGTAGTATGGGAAAACTTTTCGAATATTTGTACTTGAAATATTTGTTGGACGAGATGAATCGAAAATGGCATCGTTAAATACGACTAGTGTTACACTCGAAAAAACCATAAGTGATAAAGCATCAGATCATGATTTTATACCAAAAAAGGTTTGGATTGGAAAATGTATGCAAATGGTTCATGCAGCAAATGTTGCAAAAAGTGAGTTCGTGTTTTCCTATGAATACGTAACAATTACATTTATTCGATTTAGATATGGTTTTATGCGGATCAACTCATAGTGGTAAATCAAGTGCAGCTAAATTAATGATTGATGTATTAACACAAATGCAGCAACAACAACAATTACAAACATCTAGTCAACAACAGAAAACATCATTAGGTCCACAGGAAGCAAGTTATACACAAGAAATTACTGCACAAACTCATAAACTCTATCGGTAAATTATTTTCTTGAAAACGAAAAATTTATTCATCAAATTCTAATAATTTAGAATTAATCCATTAGCGGTTGAATCAGAAAATGTTTTACTTGGTTATCATACATTGGCTAATGATTGGCAAGATGGTATTCTTACATCAATGTTACGTAAAGCTAATCGAGTAAGTTCTTGATTTTCTTTTCTTTTTTCTTTCTTAATAAATTAAAATAACTCATATCCATAGAATTGTCATACAAGTTGGATTTGTTTTGATGGTATAGTGAGTCGAACATGGGCTGATTTAGTACCATCCATATTAGAAAAACGATCATCATTACAAATACGTAATGGAGATAAATTATTTTTACTTGATCAAGTAAAATTTATGTTCGAGACATTATCATTAACTGATGCTTCACCATCTTTTATTGCGAATTCAGTAAATCTCTATTCTTTTTCTTTTAGTTTTTAAACTTCAATTTTCTTTTTTTCCACAGACTGTTATTTACTTTGATAAATCTGTTATTGATTGGAGAATTATTACAGGTGCTTGGCTTAAGGATCGACGCCCATTGGAAGTTGAAGTAAAAAAAAAAGAATTTCAAATAAAAGTCACTCCATTTTTATTTCATGTTTTGTTTTAGTGTCTTCAAACTTGTTTTGATAAAATAATGGATCCAATAATGTTGTTTCTTAAAGAAGAATGTTCAAAGTAAAATACAATCCAAACAAATATTTTGCGAATAGTTTAATTTGAAAAAATGAAAACTTTTTTGTGTTTCTCATTTAGATCCAATTTTTATTCTGAAATGAGCTTATTTTCTGTTAGTCTTCGTTTATTAGACGCTATATTACGTGATAGTACTCATGTTACAACTAATATTCATGTTGAACGGTTTTTTATATTCAGTTTAACATTTGTTCTTAAAGCTGTGCTTAGTGCTGATGAACAAAAACGTTATTCCGATTTATTAAAAACCTTAGTTACAGTTTTGCCCGATGATGATAGAGAAATATCTGTATTTGATTATTATGTTGATGAAGCATGTGAATGGGATTTATGGACAGCTAAGTAATTCATTATATACATTCAAGCGGTTATTTTATTTTTTTTCTTATAAAAATATTTTTTTCATATTTTAGAGTTGATGAACTTAATGAAAATATTCAAGATCGTATTGATATTTTTGGCAATGTACTTCTACAAACAGTTGATTTAGCTCGTGCGCAATACTTTCTTAAATATGCTTCATTGGCACAAGTTAATGTCTTACTTACTGGTACAAGTGGTTCATGTAAATCATTTTTATTAGACACATTTCTTGGTGGATTAGGTTTGTTTCCAAACGGGTGATGACGAAAAGTTGTACGCTAAATTTAATTTAGATCAAGCACATTTTATGGCAACGCGTCTAAATTTTTCAAAAGCAACAAATTCAGTTGACTTACAAAAATTTATCGAAGCTAATGTTGTTCATCGACAAGGTTTTACATATGGTGCTCCATTGGCAAAAAAACTTTGTTTATTTATTGATGATTTACAAGCATCGACAATGAGTGGATCAGAAAAGTTTAAAAATGCTCCTGAAGTAATATTTTAAGTTTTCTGAAAAAGCAGAGTTTATATATAACGTTATTTAATTTAAAAGTTTCTTCGAACGCTTGTTGATCATCATCAATTTATAACACAACAGAAGCCGTATGAAACAAGAATAATTGATGATTTTTCAATATTTGCTACCGTTACAATACCATCAGCTGGTGATCAATCATTAATGACACTTCATCCTCGATTACTGGTAAATAAAAATCGATTTATTCTATCATTACAATCTTGCAGTTTTTCTTAGCGTCATTTTGCGATAATTAATTTACCAACAATATCTGGAACAAATCTACGTCAAATTCTAACAAGTGTCATTGATGTAAATATTAAAATTATTTGTCTATTTTTCTCATTTTAGTTTTCTAACGGATTTAAATTAAAATTTAAGGTTAATATGATGGCATATGGTAAAACTCCAATAAATCAAGATATTTCATCAAAAATTGTTGACGTTTTAACTGAAACACTTCAACGTATTCAACGTGTTCTTCAACCAAGTCCAATATCTGGACGTGAACATTATCTATTTTCACTGCGTCATATTATAATAGCAATACAAAGTTTAAGAAATATTGATGTACAAGCAAGAAATCAAACAACATTCGTAGCACCTTTTCTTAAACATGAACTGTATAGAATTATTCATGATCAAATTGTTCGAGAAATCGATCAATATTGGTTTAATGATACAATAAATGAAATTTTCCGAAATGTAATTGACTTAATTTTTACTTTTTTTTCAAATTCAGTTTTAAAGAATAATTTATAATTTATTTTTCTTATTTTTAAATAGGCATTTAATTGGGATAAAAATGAAAGCGATCATCTTTATTTTACATTTCCTCTTGAAGGAAGAAGTTATGAACGTCCACTCAATTCACTTATCATTAAAGAAATTAAAGTATAAAAACTCATTATTTAGGAAAAAAAAACAAAGAAAAACTTATCGTTTCATTCATTTTAGATTCAAATTCAACCTGTTGAATCAATTAGTCAACTTCGTAAAGCTATTGAACAAGTTGCAATGCGTTATAGAGAAGAATTTGGTCATCATACATTTACTTTACCAGTTTCAGAAAACATAGCTTTGCATATAATACGTATGCATCGAGTTGTATCTCATTCATCATTGTAAGTTTACTAATCGTATAAAAGCAATTTGTTAGAAACATTAATATATATTATAGGAGCAATTTATTTGTTATTGGTACCATTGGTTCTCATTTATCAAAATTAGTTCGATTAGCATTTTATTTAGCTGAAATTCAAGAACATGCTATTGACTATTCAACGAAGAGTTCATTTTATGATAGTTTAAGAGGTGTTATTAGAACAACAGCTGTTGAAGGACGACATATTGGAATTTTACTGACAGTAAGAAATTGAAAATAAAATAAATTCTGATTATAGAATGCTTTTAATATTTAGCACAAACATTTACGTGAAAAAGATATAATCGATACTATTTCTTCGTTATTAACAAGCTATGAATGTCCTCATCTATTTAGTAAAGATGAACTTGATGGACTTTATCAGGTTTGTGATTTTTCTTTTTGCAATCATTTATTGTCAAAAGGAAATATGACTAACTATCGCCTACGTTTCAATATTTTATTCATGGATGGAAATTATTCTTCGTTTTGAAATTAAGAAAAATTACAATTAGTTTATTTCTATAAAATCTTTTGTGGTAAATATAATGATAGTTTGCAATAAGATATTTACAAAAGTATTGTGATATCAGGATATAATAGAATCTTGGCCAGATATTCTACTAACAGTCGTCTCATCATATCGATACTGATAAGGTGTAATTTCTCTTACTTGTACATATTCATTTTTTCAACGCATTGCATGAAGAAAACCTATTTAGTAATTTAGTCAATTTAACATTAAGAATCATTCTTTATTGAACTAATAAGACCTTCAAAATAATCTAAAGCATCAAAACAATTCTTGATATGTACTAGTAAAAAGGTAATGTTTCGAATATCCTCAATCAAACAGATTTCATAGAATTATTTGATACACAAAAAAAAACGATTACTTGGCAGTTCATTGGTCAATGCTTATAGGTATCATGGACCAAAAGAGGTTGGAACTATCATTTGTTTTTGGATGTAGATTTTGAGATATCTTGATTGATTTCATCATAATCAAGTTAAGTCGTTATTCCTGTCTTCGTTAACATAATACTGAAAAGTGAATTTTTTTCCTAATTAACCATCAGTATCACTAAGTTTCGCTCCACTATATTTATACGCTGAATATGTATCGCGAGAAGTTTAGATTGGTTTGTTAAACAAGAAAAATTTAATTTAATTTAAGATAAATTTTTTCTTCTTAATCTTTTCAGGCAGTAATAAATGCATACAAACGAGATCAAAATTTATCAACAGTTGTTATAGCTGACCCACGACGATATTTTCTCTCAAGAATTCGTCAAAATCTTCATATTGCTATTACTTTACCAGCACATAGTGAACTTCATGGCCATATACCGACGTAAGTTATCGATTTTTAGTTTTTTTCTTTAAAATCCAGCAAAACTTGATTCATAATATTTTAATTTAGTGAATATCCCGGTTTACTTAAAAACACTCAAATCTATTGGGTTAAAAATTGGTCACCATCAGCTCTTCAAGTTGAATCTTCGTTTTTTCTATCATCACATGATACATTTCTTTCAGATGACATTCGTCAACGTTTATCTCGTTGTTTATGTGATATTCATTATTATATGCTAAATGAATGCCGTCAAATATCATTTGTTGGTTCAACGGATCGAACAATAATCGTTCGTGAAAATGCACCAAATCTAAATTCTTCATTTACAACTGGAGCTGGAACATCAAAAGAACATGTTGTATCAAAAAAGAATCTGCATAAAGAAGCAAAAGAGAGCAAAATGATTGATGTTGAATTACCAAATTATCCATATTCACGAATACTTTTGTATGAACAAATAAAAAGTCATGGTACAGGTAAATCATCATCAACATCTCAATTACATACATTTGTTGGGCCAGACACATTTCGTCGGTTTATGCAATCATTTTGGTATTTATTTACATCAAAAGCAGCTGTTTGTGAACGTGATATAATAAGATTAAGTAAAGTCTTAAGTACATTAAATAAAACACGGCAAGATGCTGAACAAATGAAAAATTATATACAAGAATTAAAAGAAAAATGTTCAGCTAGTGAAACGGAAACAGCATTACTTTTAGAAGAAGTTATTTATAAATCAATGGTCCTAGAGAAATTAAGAGCGAAGCATGCATTACCTGGATCATTACCTGGGTATATTCATCGAGACGAAAAAGATGACTTTGTATTACCTGAAGAAGAAAGAAAATGGTTGATGGACGGTAAAAAACATTTTTCTGTTTTGGCCACTTGTTATTTGAGTTAATGTTTTGTATTCTTCGAATTTTAGATGAAGCAGATGAATACGAAGAAAACTTTAAACGAATGAAAGAAGAATCATTAAGATCTCGTCAAGTTAAAATGCAAGAAGATTATGAAGAATCATTACGTGAAGTTGACAAATGGCGTGAACGACTAGCAAATAAACGAAAGGAAGTTGAATATTGGATGAATAAAGTTGATAAATCATGTATTGAAAGAATACGTGCCTTTCAAACGCCGCCTGTACTCGTTGGACAAATTATGGAAATGAGTAAAAGATCTTTTTTTCCCTTTTGTAATTATTTAATTGTTGAATGTAGTTTTAACACTGATTGGACGAAAACCGGCTGTTAAATTTGAAGTTAAAGATCAAGAAAAAGAGAAAGGTTTATTGACTTCTTGTACATTAAATTAGTTTACTAATTTCTTTTTCATATTAAAGGAACAGGAAGAACGCAAGCTGAACGCCTTGATCGTAATCAATGGAAACAATATACAACATTAATGGCTGATTCAGGTAGATTTGTGGATATGTTACATGGAATAAATTGGCAAGATGGGCTTAGTCTTGATATTGCTACTGGTAAAATTAAATTCATTTATTGAAAAAGAGATAAATTAATTTCATTTTCATTTTCATTATTATTATCATCTTTTTAGCTGTTGAATCCTATATTGCAAAAGGCCGAGATGGAGTATCAGAAGGAATAACGGGTGAAGGTCTTCTATTAGAAAATGCCAAAAGTTTGTTCTTTTTTTCAGGAATTGATTTTCAAAAATAAATTTCCTCTAACAACTAGATTTTCATGTTGCCGCCTCACGTAGTACTGCTTCACAAGAAAATCGTATAACAATAGCTACTGCGCGTTATGCATCTGAAGAAGCAGCGGGACTTGTCCATTATGTAATTGCTGTTATAGAATATACAAAATTATGTCAACCATTGCGTTTAGCAAAACAAAAAGTTGAAAAAATTAAACAAGATTTATTAGAAGCTGAACAAAAACAATTAGAAAAAGAAAATGAAGTGTGTTAAAAGAATTTCTTCGTTTTTTTTTTTGTTCTTGGAATTAAATACAAAAGTAAAATTTCTTGTGATCTTATAGATTCAACGTTTGAAAATGATGGAAGCAAGCCTTCATACCGATGTTAATGATAATGATCATCGTATTGTTGATATATCAAAATATACAATAGAAGATTTACCACGCTTAATGAATGAACTTGAGGAAGCACAAAATCGTTTTGATGCTGCAGCTGTTAAAAAAAGTAAACTAAAAAAAGAATATGAAAGTTGCCAAACGCGTTTACAAGCTGCTGTTAACGTAACACAAAGGTAAATATAAGAAGTCTTAACAAAAAAGTAGCAACTAACATTTTTATTAAAATTTCTAATAAATATCAGTTTATATGAAATGGATTTATTTGAATTGAAAGGAATCAAACAGTAAGAATCTACACATATATTTATATATCTATGCGTATTATGATATCTACGTTTCGTTGATATTTATTTTTGTTTCTGTTTTGCATGCTTGTTCAATTACATTATTTTTTAATCATTTGTGTTTTGTGATCAATTCATTATATTTTACTATTTATAGAAGAGATCAATCAGCTCGACCCGATGATGAGAGTGTCTGGTAAAAAGAAAAACTATAGATTTGTTTGCAGTGATCTTTCTAGTCTAACGAAACACAATAAGAAAAATTCAATTTAGAATTTTCTACAACACTCATTATTGAGTGTTATGATTGACGAGAATACTCACACTGATTGTTCATGTTTCGTTTTTTTTACTCACATTCATTGACTTCTATTAAATGGAATGAGCATTCATTATAATATTTTTCTTTAGTTTATCTGATTTGGAAGATCAATGGGCAAAATGGATTGCTGAACATTCGACACATGATCAAACTTTAACAAATTGCATTTTAGCAGCTGCTTATATGACATATTGTGCACCATTTGATGCAGACTTGAGAAGAATATTATGTCAAAAGTTTCTTTCATTTTGTGAACAATATCAAATTCCACGAGAAGCTGATTTGGTTTTTCAAGTATGTTTTAACAAATTCAAAAAAAAAACTTCTTTTTTCTTTTTCTTTTCATTTTTTCTCTAATAAAAGCCAATACCGATGGATTCTTTATCAAAGAATTCTCTCGATTATTCATTTACAATGAATAATCAATCAATAGATTCAACAGGAAATTCTGGGCGTAATAATAAAGGAAATTCAACACCAATAACAACACTTGCGGAATTTTTATATAGTCCAATTGAATTGAAAGAATTTCAACTTCTTCGTCTCATACCAACTGACATAATGACTGAAAATGGATGTATTATTATGGCTGACGCTGGTCTTAATGCATGGCCATTGATATGTGATGCAACATGGTATTCAATTGAATGGATTCGTCTATTTTTAAAAAATAAAAAATTAATTGTTGTTCGATATCATGTAAGAATATTTAGATATATATATATATACATCTAAAATGCATCATTTTTTTTTCTTTTAAATGATCTTATTGTTTTTTTTTATTCGTATTTAAATAGCAATTACGTACTCAATTGGAAACTGCATTATCTGAAGGCCTCCATCTTTTATTAACAGATTGTGATACAAATACGTTAATGGCAAATGAAAAACTTGAAACAGTGATAAGAAACCAAGCTCGATTTTTATCCAGTGAAAAACCATTTAAACTACAAATAGGTCAACAAGAAATTGAATGTAGTCCTAAATTCAGGTTTGACATTAATCATCTATGTTATTTGGTTAGCTTTAATAAATATGTTTTTCATAGACTTTACTTGCATACAATTACTCAACCAATTTTTATTCCAAAAGAATTAGCAGCTTATACATTAACATTATGTTTTCATGTTACATTAAATGATCTTGAAGAAATCTTTTTAAATCGATTTATGAGCGAAGAAAAAAAACATATTCATACTGAACAACATGCATTATTACAAGTTTGTTTTGAAGGAGTTTTTGAATTTATAAACTACTACTCCGTCTATTTTTCATTTTATTGAATAGGAAAAAGTTGATACTTTAAAGATTATTGATCCGCTACGACAAAATATAACAAATTTTCTTGCATCAGATTCATTAAATTTATTACAAAGTGTCGAACCAACAAAACGTTTATCAGATTTAAAGAAAGCTTACGATGAAGCTACCGAAGGGTGACTAAGATTTTGTTTCTTCACTTCGTTCTTCTTTTAAGTTTTGAATAAAATATATTCTTCTTATTTCATAGATCCCATCGAGTTGCATTACAAGAAGAAACTTTATTGAAAACTCGAAACAGCTATAGAAAATTAGCTCAACGAGCAGCTGCTTGCTACAATATAATGCATTATTTACGGCAGCTTTCTTCGAAATATGTTATGCCACTTGAACATTTCATTGATTTATTTGATTCATGTATTTCGCAATCGGAAAAGTAATAATTTATTATTTTTTTCTCTTAAATTAAAATGTCTCTTATTTTAATTATTGTTTAGACATTCCATGGGAACTGTAATGACTGAATTAACTAAGAGTTCATTTATCACAATGCATCGAATATTGAATGATCGTGATCGACGTGTGTTGGCAATTTATTTTGCTATGGAAGTATGATGAGATATTTGCAAGTCTTGTTTTTCTTTTTAATTTAAAAATATCTTTTTAGATTGAATCATTTAATCGCCGTCAAAATCAACAAGTAGATACTAGTGTCCCAACTGGCGAACGTGAATTTATTATATCACCTTCGTGGGCTATTTCATTATTACAAAAACGTGGAGCTCGTGTACCAAATGAACATCGGTTTTGGTCGTATAAGAAACCATTTGATTGGATGACAGATGAAGCTTATCTAAATCTTCAAGTAATTTAAAATATATTTGAACGATTTCAAGTGAACTTAGTGCAGATATCACCTTGAAAACTCTTAGCCAAGAATACTATAGTCAAAGATTGATTTAAGAAAAATTGATTTAAAAATAAAAATATTGTTGCAACATCAGATTTAGATATAGAATTATTTCTTATGAGAACAACACTCCAATTGATATTCAATCTTTGAGACAGTTTATATTATGATCAAGAAGAATATCATGGTACAAGTTGAAAATTTAAAAAACAAAGGATTTATTCCCATGTGATTTTAAAAATTGAATTCGAATTCTTATCATGAGTTTGCATTTGAAATATCGCTCTCAATTTATTTTAATAATCTATAAAAAATATCGTTCGAATTTCAGTCAAAAAGAATATTTCCTTTTTTTTACCTAGATGTTCAAATTTAATGTAATTAAAACCTAATAGAATAACATTCTCTTGTACGAGTTAGCCGATGTTTTTTGCGCGTGAATTTCGCGTCGAAAATTCGTTTTCGTTTTTTCTCTCGATATGTTTGTAGAACTGAATTGAAACTTCATTAAAATGATTCCAGTTCAACTTTAAAACCCTAAGAGGATAAATCTCATTTATGATGTCTTCTTATTCAGTATTTAGCTATATATTTTGATTGGTTTTCTGATGGATTCGAACGAATGGGAAAAGAAGGTCAAGAAGCTAAATGGCGTCCTTTATGTGAAGGTGAAACAGAAAACTATCCACTACCATCACCACTTGAACAACTGGAACCAATACAAAAATTTTGTATTGTACGTGCTCTAAGAAGTGATCGATTACTTCAAGCATCAACTGTCTATGTTACGAATGTTTTTAATCAAGAGTAAAGATTTTCTTTTATTGTTTTCTTTAGTAATAATTTTGATTTCTTTTTTGTAGCTCAAATAAAACAAAATCTTTAACACAAGAACATCATATGAACCAAGCATCCTCGTTATCATTACAAGCTCAATCAACATCGCGTTCAACAACTATACCGTAAATTCCATAGAAAATAATCATTTTATTCATTAGAATATCTACTATTTATTTTCATAGAGTAACACCAACACTTCAACAAGATGCTGATTTACTAACACGTCAAAGTAGTCAACGATCGGTTTTATTATTCTACGATGATGAACCAGATGAAGTTGTAAACTTTTTCTTATATTGTACAAATTTAATTCAAACAGATTCATCAACAACAACACCCATGTTTCAAGTTGTTCATGTTTATGGTAATGGACCAAATGAAGAACGAATATTAAAGAAAGCTTTAAATAAAGCATTAAATAATGTAAGAAAATTTTGTTTAGTATTAAAATCTACTGTATTCTTTTAGAATATTTGGCTTTTACTTCACTGTATTCATAACAGTCCACCATTTTTATCCCATGTTGAAACAGCTCTATGGGAACTTCGTTCTAAACGTTCATTACAAACATCATCATCACAACCTCCGATGCCGCGTATCTGGCTTAGTATTCAACGTTCATATTCATTTCCTTCGTCACTTTATAATTTATCTTTAATTGCTTATATTCGTACACCCTTATCGATGAAAGAAGCTATGACGCGAGCATTTTCTTTAATTGACAATGATCTACTTCGTCATTCAGCAAAAGTAGAATGGATACCATTGTTGCATAATATTTGTTATCTTCATTGTGCACTTAATCTTCGTACAAGATTTGCTCAGGCTGGTTGGGATTTACCAACATTAACATCCTATACAAATGTTGAACTGACATCAGCATTTCAAGTAGTTGCTCGTGAATTTGCTTTAAGTGATCAATCCATTGTTCGACTGGAATCAGCTCATACAAATAGTGCTGTATCAAATGATGCAAATGTTCGACAATTGTCTTGGACATCGATTCGTTATGCATTGTCAGAATTGATTTATGGTGCAAGAGCATTAACTGAATATGATCAACGAGCTATTGCAAATATAGTTGATTTTTGGATTCAACCAGGATCAGTGAAGAAAGATTTTGAATTTTCAAAAATAAAATATAAAATTCCAACTATTTTTTTTGCACAACAACCAAAATTAGGACAACTACAACAAGCACTTGAATCACTTTCTATACATCAACTTGATGTACCAGAAGCGTGTCATCTTCATTCAACAAATGAAACAAATCTCGGTAGACGAATAATTTGCCTGTTTTAATTGCTATTAATCATAGTTGTTTTCTTTTTCTTTAAATTTTCTTTTTTTCATAGGTGATGATCTACTAATAATTAATCGTCTTAATCGAATAATTGATGCGTTGCCAACCAATATTTCCCTTAGTGCAGCAGTTCATCAACGACCAAATACGCCTGTCGAAGGTTAGAATTTTCTTCTTTTCTCAAAATAGTAATCTTCCTTTTGTTTGTCTACTGAATTAAATAAACTAATAGATGTGACAATTAATACATCTCTCTCATCTTCAAATGTTATGTCAACCACATTCAGTTCAGCAGCTCTTTATTCATTTGCAAACAAGAAAGCTATTGCATTAGAAGAATATGCTGCACTGATATTAGCTTCAAAATTACCTAAAGTATTAACAAAGGTATTGCCAATTTCGTTTATATTTTTAGTCTAAGTTTATTTCGAATACGAATATGAATAGGATCAAATATTGGATCGTGCTCGGCGAAATGGTACAGCGATTAACAGTCCATTTAACGTATGGATAATGCGTGAAGCACAATTAATGACTGATCTTGTAACTCTTATTCGATCAAATTTACAAGCCATCAAAGTTGCTTGCGATTTCAATCAATTAGGCACACAATGGTCAATAGACTTAGCTAATGTAGCATATGCTTTATACTATCAACGAGTACCTGATGTTTGGCGTGAAGCTGTGGGTCCCAGTGCGCCGTCACCGACGTGGGGCTTAAATAATTTTTTTCCTGATTTAATTATGCGAGCGGATCATATTGAAAAAGTACTTACTAAGGGTATGAATATTAGATTTGAAAAAGAATTCTTTTTATTAACTAATTCAAACGGTATTTCAGGTCGTGAAAAACATCCAGCTTATAATCTATCTGCATTTTTTCATGCTTCATCATTATTTGGTATTTTTAAACAAGAGGTAGCGCATGCACTCAATCTTTCCGATGATGCTAATAATGGTTCGCTTATATTTCAATGTGAACTAACGCCACGTGATCGCGAACATATTCGTGAACCACCTAAAGATGGCATATTTATATATGGTCTTTATCTATGGGGTTGCAGTTCGGATAAGAATGCTGTTGAACATGGAATTTCTGATGGTCCATCAAGAAATCGTGATGCATGTTCATCGTTACCTGTTATTCATCTAACATGTGTGTCAGCAGATAAAGCTGCTCAACTAGTTGCACAACAACAATCTGGTGCTGACACAAATAGTAATAGCCGAACGGCAACATTGGATGTTTATTCATGTCCTGTCTTTTATAAACGCTCGATTGAAAGACGTTCAAATGAAGTCGTTTGTGAATTAGATTTATGGAAAAAGACCAACAATGTTAGTCAGACGTCACGATGGGCATGGCGAGGTGTTTGTATGACTGTCAAACCTTATTAAGTTTTCTTTTCCATTTAAATATTCACATATTTCAGTCTCATGAAAATCAACTTCAATAAACAGAGTTTTCGATGCTTTTGCATCGGGTTATGTGTGTGTGTGTTTGAAATCGTTTGTTTTGTTTTTGATTGCTCTACTCTATTGAATGAATTATATCGATTGATCAAGTTTCAATGATAAATGTATAAAAAAATATTCATTTGAGAGTATCTGTAAAAGAAACACATATTTACGTCGACGATTTATCTATTCATATACGAAGTCAACGTTTCGACTTTTTTCGAATTAATAGAGAGACATACAGAGCAATAGAATAATCGCAATATATTCACTGACTAGAGAGATTCAACGTTTATTAGAATATTTCGATAAATGATATCATTAGATGATTGTCTAGTAGATTTTGATACCTGTCATCTTAAAGTTCTAATCTCAATTCTTAAAATGACCTTCGACTATATCACAAGTGAAATACATTCTTTTAATTGTATGAAGTAAACCATTTGTTCTGCTATGTTTCAGTTTATTCCAGAAGTAACAATCTGCCACGAATTACATTCTTCAGCGAACTACGCTAATCGCTCTAGCTTTATGTGAACAGAATGCAGGAGCCATTGACAAAAGAGTAATTTAAGATGTCTAAAATAGAATCGAATTACATGAGCACAGTGTTGTGTTAAGAAATGCTTGAAGATAATGCGATTGATCGAGAAAAAAATACATTGCCATCTCTACAACCCCCTTCCATTCCACAAGTTAATGGTGCTCTTTACAGTCACGGTTCAGATGGTTCTTTTTTTCGTAGATTTCAAGGAACATCTCTGAAGATTATATTGTTTTTCAGGTGATCTAAACATCGTGAATATATTGATGATACTGGCTTATATTGTGCTATTGATTAGAGTGTGCGTATGAACTAAAGGTTTACTTCGTATTGAGAGCCTGATTGGTATGTGACTAGTTTTTATTGAATTCAATACAACACCTTTTAGTACTAGTTCAATTATTATTCGCACTGTTTGTTATGTACTTATATTCTATATTTGTAGGCTTATTGATTAACATAAAATGAATCTTCAAATGTCATCATTCTAACTATAATATTATCGAACATAACTTTCAATTCGAACCATAAATGAAGTAGTCTTGATGGATACTCTTCAAACTGTGAAAGAGTTCCGACTTCATTAAAACTATTACATTTGATGAAATAGACGACCACTCGTCTATTAAATTGAATAGGAACTGATCTATTTATAATACGTCCTCTCTTTTTTACATGTTCTTGCTCTTATCAAAGGCTATGTCAAGATAGTCTCGATCTCCTAAATGTTTCTCATATAAATTCAATTGCCATAGAGATTAGTTCATGATATCCGAATGCATACTAGTAAATCGAATCAAAGACTATCAACTACAGACAAGATGAAGATGATTAATGAGATTTATGTGAGTATGTACTTAAATTGCTGTGGTACATTCAATAATAATTAAGGATTAGAATCGTAAGAAAAAGCTATTAGTGATATTGTATCGTCGTAATAGATTTCTGAGGAGAGTTTTGGTACTCTTTGATACTTATCGAGAAAAATCAAGAATAAAACGTTGAAACTACGTCGGAGAAACATTTCTGTAGATTGGAAAATCATGCTTTTCTACCATACTTTCTGCTTCTATTGAGCATGCACCGAGCTAAACGCACTTCTATACTAAATGGCGGAATCTCGTGATAAAGAATCATTATAATAGATTTTGCTCTATTAACAACCATTTTAGCTAAATTAATTTCAAAAAATAAATAGTGTTTTGCAATCCCAGCGATTTCATATGTTCCTGTATAATAAAAGGAAAGAGAAAAAAAATAGATATATATAAAATCAAAAGTTGGGTAATTATTCACTGCTGTCTATAAACACAAGCAAACATAAACCAATATTAACTTGGACCTTTATAAGCATCATCTAAATCTAAATATTATAGAAAAGTAGATGCTTCCACCAGAGAATTCGAAAAAATCATCTAATTTAAAACGACTGCCACTCATAGCTGTGCAATGCTAGAAACTGCATAGACCATAACAGGCTCTTTTTATCAATATTATAGCGACATCAGTCTGTGATATTTCATTTGCTCATATTCTAAACCATTCATAAATGTTCTGCTATGAAGTGTTGCAAATGTAGAAACTAGTAAATTTATTATTGCACATTTAGTGAGAGAAATTGCTGATTATTTTTCACTTTAATAAGTATTTTGAATAGAATTAATTGATTGATCGATTTGTTCACCATTAAATGTGTTTGAAATTTATTCAATATCAGAAATAATTGCAAAAATTTGTATAATTTTCAAGATTGATGAACAGCTCAGCATTTTCGTTCAATTATCATGCATCAAATGAAGAATGCAAATCATCGAATATCAATCGCCATCCAGATAATCTCCGTGGTAAAGCCATAGGTTTATGGTACGCTCAACGGCATCTATCTGGAAATCCTACTCGAACATCATCAAAATCTCATCCCACTCGATCACAACCAGTAGCAACTATTGAATTATCTCCCAATGAAATTCAACGTGTTACAGAAGTTCATCAATTATTTGATCATGAAAAAGAAACACGAAAAAATTTCAAGAGACTATCAACAAATATTCAAGAGGATGCAATTTATGATACATCGATGGACGATGTTAATCATGCCATACAATTTGAAAAATTGCACACTTCATTTCAATATTTCGAACCCCTCGATCGAAAGCCTGAAATCGATCAATATTTATCAGATGATTTACGAAAGAAACAATGCTCATCATCATATCAAACATTAAAGATTCAACGAACTGCTTTGCCTATAAATAAGTATCGTCAGCAAATTCTCGATATGATCGAAAACAATCAGTTATTTATTCTTATTGGTGAAACTGGATCAGGTAAATTTCATTGAAAAAAACCAAGAAATAAAACTAAAAAAAAAAGAATTCAATATACAAATTTATTTTTTAAGGGAAAACAACTCAAACAGCTCAGTTTATTCTTGATGATCAAATTTTAAAAAACCAAGGAAGTTTATGTCGAATAGTTTGTTCACAACCACGTCGGATTAGTGGTAAACTCATTATTTGATAGTTTTTCATATTTTCGGAATACAAATGATCTAATATGATTTTAGCTACATCAGTCGCTCAACGAGTAGCACAAGAACGTAGTGAAATAAATCCTGGTGATTCAGTTGGTTATCATATTCGTTTGTCAGCTCAATTGCCACGTAAAAATGGTTCAATTCTATTTTGTACAACGGGAATGTTACTTAAATATATTGAAAAATTTACTAGTTTCGAACATTTTTCTCATATAATTCTCGATGAAATACATGAAAGAAATATTGACATGGACTTTTTACTTATTTTCATCAAACGTTTATTGAAATTACGTCCAAATATTAAAGTTATATTGATGAGGTGAAATTTTTTTCTTTTGAAAGAATTATGTTTTTTGATACATCGTTTTTTTTTCTTCATTTTAGTGCATCGATTCAAGCTGAAAAATTTAGTTCGTATTTTGAAAATTGTCCAATTTTATCTATTCCTGGAAATATGTACTCGGTGAGAGAATATTTTCTTGAAGATTATATCATGAAATTAAAATATCCGTATGACAACCGAACAAATAATCAACGATCACATCGAAAATTAAACAATGAAGAAGTCGATAAAAATTATGATCACTATATAAGTGAACTTCAATTTGATTTAGCTAGCCAACATAAATCGATTGATGTATTGAAAAAAATTCTAGCCATTGGAACGGATTTTAATTTGGAAATTAATTGTGATTTAGTTGTTAGTGTTATTGAATTTATTTGTCGAATATCTTCTCAAGGTATTGTGGTTATTTCGAAAAAAAATATTTCAAAATACCAAATAGTCTCAACACGATATGAAACTGTAATCATGAAACAAAGCCTAAATGCATCATGATAACATGAGCAAATACAATTTATAATTTTTGTAGCATAGTTTTTACGTCTGTGTTAGAAATCACAATGAGTGAAAAGCAGATCATTTTGGTTTACTGTATTAGCTTCTTAGAACTCCTTTTAAAAAGAAATCATTTGAAGTAGAAGAAAAAATATATTGACTTAAGTTTATATCGTTAGTCATTATTATTCAATGGCAGTTGTCATCCATTAAATTTTATTTGACTGAAAACACTCAACAAAGTTTCATCAGCATGATAAATCAATTCTTTTTGTCTTTGTTTTCATTTTCTATTATTCATTCTTATTATCTGGAAAAGTTAAAATTTGAAACCGAGAAGATTTCTGATCTATCTATATGATTCAAAACAAAACAAAGAATGATGACATATCGATGGTAGTAAAACTAAGACTTTGGAGGTGTGATGAATTAAACAAAATATTTGCAATTGTGATGAATATATCGGTTTTTCGAAATCAACGATCATAATTTTATTTCGGTCTTTATTAACAAATAATTTCATGTAGCAAAGCGTTGAGTTCGACATGAATTTTAAGTTCATCGATTGTTTTTGCTTCCCAAGTAAAAGACAGCTGCAACATTCTTAATGAATTTCTTTCAATTAACTAATGAGTATATTAGAATAAGTAAAAAGAATCTTTTTGTCTAATATTTGGCCTTATTACTTATTGTATTCTCTTCTTCTATCGCAATAATAAAACGGTGCTATTTTCTGCAATAGTTTTTGATTGTTAATTTTAACATTTTTATATTTAATTTATTCATAAATTTTTAAAACTACGAACATTAAGGTACTATTCTGGTCTTTCTTCCTGGTTGGAGCGATATCACCAAATGTACTCAGCTACTACGTCAAAGAAGTTTATTAGCATCTTACCTTCATATTTTACCATTACATAGTTTATTACCATTGCCTAATCAACAAGAAATATTTAATCCATCACCTCATCCAACTTTACGTAAAGTTATTCTATCTACATCCATTGCTGAAACATCGATTACGATTGATGATGTTATTTATGTTATTGATACTGGTCGAACAAAAGCAAGTGATTATGATCTTGAAACTCAAGGAAAATGTCTTTTACCAACAAATGTTTCACGAGCTAATTTACTTCAAAGAAAAGGTTTGTAATTAGATAGCACAGAATCGCTTTGAATTGTAGTATTGACTTTTATTTTTCAAAGGGCGAGCTGGCCGAACACAACCCGGTGAATGTTATCGATTATTCACACGTTGTAATGAACGTCTGTCATTTGTTGATTTTCCACAGGCTGAAATGGTCACATCACGTTTAGATAATATTTATTTGCAAGCCAAATTATTAAATATAAGTAATATTAAATTATTTCTTCAAGATGCGCTTGATCCGCCGCCCATGGAAGCTATTGAGCATGCAGAAAGATTTTTATCTGACATCGGCGCATTAGTATCTGAGACCAATGAATTAACACCAATCGGGAAAATCCTCGCACAGTAAATGAATTAAAATATTCCAAAGAAATAGAAAATAAAAGAAATTGTTGAAAATTTATTTAGCTTACCAATGAATCCTCAAATTGGTAAATTATTAATTATGGGCTATTTATTTTCTTGTTTTGATCCAATATTAACTATTGCATCGATTTTAAGTTATCGAGATCCGTAAGTGTATATGTGGAAATAAAAGGCAGTGCTTGATATCGGCAGAAAACAGCGAATTTTACGCTCTGTTAAGATACACTGATTAAAATATCGAGATTTTGCTTTATTTAAGTTTTGTAACTCCGATCGATAAAATTCAAGAAATAAATGAAATACGTCGTTGTTTTGCTGACAAAACCATGTCAGATCACTTAATGCTAGTAAATATTTATCAAGAATGGAAGAAACAACGAAATTACCGTGATAAAAATCATTTTTGTTTTGAACATTTCCTTAACTCAAATCATATGAAAATGATTGATAAAGTACGTAATCAATTGAAACATCTGATTCAAGATTATTTTGCTTCATACACAGGTCAGATTATTTAAATATTTAATTTAAAACTTTTTCATTTCTAATAAATAGATGATGCAAATCGAAATAAAAATAATTATGATTTAATATGTGCTCTCATGTGTGCTGGACTCTATCCCAATATTGCACGTATTCGGTTATCATTAGATAAATCATCAAAACGTCCATGCTTATTAGAAACGAAATATGAAAAACGAATTTTAATACATCCCAGATCAGTTAATTCGAAACTTCGGGTAAATTTATTCAAAGATATTCACCTTGACAATTTTTTTGACTTATTATCCTCGTAAAAATATGTTCATGATCGATAGATGTTTCATTCTTCAAATTTTGATTAATCTATCTGTTAAGTCTCAAACATACAAAACTCTAGTATTCGTTCAAAATGTATTAAATAGAACTTTTTAAGTCGTAGATCAAATATATCAATATAATGCTAGAATTTTTATCATTTATTGCATTCTGCTTAAAAGACCTTGATCTAACTATGCTAGTTTTATTCATTTTACCGTAGTGTTTAATCAATAACTACTATGACTACTTTTTCTAAAAATCGATATCAATACAAGATTTAATTAGACTATAAACTATTAAATCGTATTCATATACTATCAAAAGAATAACTCTTCGAATATTTTTGATAATAGTTCTAATAAAATGTGTAGATCACAATTTGTTTTTGTAGGTGCTATTTTTTGCGAAATAAATCATCGTGAGTGATTCGATAATGTGAATTAATTCATACTGTGCCAACCAAAAATTTCAAGATTTTTCTACTAATTTGTTTTGGTGGCAATCTCTACAGTTCGAAGAATCACCGAAGTACTACACCTATTTTTCGATTCTTTATATACTTTTTGAAGGCGAAAAACCTCAAAATTTCGAAACACTTTCGCTGATAAACATTAAAAATCTACGTATTATTCAATTGTTCTATAAATTTTCGTTCTTATACAGTAGAAAAATGAAATGCTGCTCCCATTTCGCAAGCATGGCTTCCCAGTTTCTTTTGGAGTATTCTCAGAAAATGGTGGAATCGTCGAGGAGTTCGACTGAGAAAAGTTTCATTTAAAACTGTTTAAACTGAACTTTGAATCATCAATCAACGTATAATTTAGTAAATATTGTTATTTTCTACTTTGTTCATCGAATTCAGATTTGCACTTTATCTGTTATGAATGAATTTAAAATATTTTCTAGGATGATGACATACGCCGCTCATTTGTTCAATCAACATTAATTGTTTATCATGAAAAAATTCGTACATCAAGTATATTTATTCATGATACAAGTTTTATATCTCCATATGCTTTACTTTTCTTTGGTAAAAGTCAATTATCACAAGAGACAAATCCAACAAATAACGATGATAATATAATTTCAGTGGATAATTGGATAAAAATCAAAATCGATGTTAAAACAAATAAATTAATCGATGAACTAAAAGAAAAATTTAATTATTTAGTTGAAAAGAAAGCATCAAAGAAAAACATCTTGTTAGAAAATGAACAGCATTTGATTGACACAATAATTCATTTTATAATAAAACAAGATAAAAATTTAGTAATGCAAAACAATTTAATCGATGATTATTCAAAGAAGAATATGATTAACGAAGATTGGGATGATGAAATAAGAAATGCATCAAATAAAAGTTCTTCTACATTTCATGAGAGTTAAATCTTTAGTTTGCTTTATACATTCTACGGATATATATCCGGAACGAATATTTCCGATTCGATTCAAACTTTTTTGTTTACTTCTGTTTTTATGCATATTTTTCTAGATTTTATTTTCATCTGAACGATGTAATGTCGAATAATGCAAGTGAAGTAATATCACCGGTGCGCGTAAATCAACAACAACCACCGCCGCCGCGAATACCACCGCCTACAGCGGATGGAGATACAATGGAACGACTTTTTCAAGCATTGTTCTATCGTATTGCTGTTCTCTATGCTCGAAATGTTCCTAAACATATTCGTCGATTAGGAGAAACGGCTATACTTGTTATGGTAAAAAAGAAAAAATGATTGAATTAATAAATACTTATAATTCTTCAATTCTATTTAAGGCAATTGTTTGTATGGCTCTACTCGTCTATCTTCATGTTGTATTCAATCAAAAACCAGTAACATGTCTTTCTCATTTACATGATCATTGGCCACGACAAGGTATACTTCGTGTTGAATTATTTTTTGAATCTCCACCAGAAGATTATAATCTTCAACAATCTTATGCTAAAGAATTTCAATATAGTCACTTCTATAATTATGACGACAATTATAGAAATTATCCGATATTAAAACAAAACGAAACAGTAAGAAAAACAAACAACTCGTTTATTTGTCTTTTTTGGAAAAATTTTCTTTTCATCTATTCGTATAGATTGTCGTCAAAGCTGAATTTCCGATTGGACAACAAGAAAATGAACGATTAGAAAAATCTTATCCAAATATGAGTATTAATTTTTCTTTATTGTCACCAACGGATTATATAAGTAAATCAATAATGAAAAAAGAAGTTATAAATAGTGCTGAAATTATTGATGATAATTCTCTATCGGAAATAGAAGATGATCTTGATAATGAATCTTTATTTGATTATTTATTTAACTTTGATTGGCTTAAACAATTATTAATTGAAGAACATTATATTCTTGAATATTCAATTGAATATGGATTTTTACGTTTATCACCTGAAACAAGACAAAGACTTAATATTGAAGTTTTACTTGTTACATTAGGTAGATCAAAAAAGTTTCGGTTGAAATTAATCTGAAATAGTAAAGAAAATATCTTTTTATTATCTCTACTGAAGCCAGCAGTGTCACATATCCAAAATTTTGGAGATGCCACCACATCTCCTGTGGGAGATGCCGCATCTAGNGTGTGGGGGATGCGCATCTCTAAAGGAGATCTTACATCTCCAGTGGTGAATGACCGGATCTCCCGACTGTGGGTGTCACGTCTCCAGCGGGAGACGCGGCATCTCCTGTGGGAGATGTGGTGGCATCTCCAAAATTTTGGATATGTGACACCACTCACTGAAGCATAATCTAATCTCTTTGGTTGATAATAAATCTGTATTCTATTAAAAAATGATAATATAACAAGAAATATTGAATTTAAAACTTCGAAAGAAAATATTGATTTCTAATAAATAAGAATTCTTTTGTATGAAAACTATTTAGAAACTTAACTTTTCATATGCAAATGATACAGTGTTCAATTACTATTTAGTATAGTGAATGATTATAATCGCATCGACTGTTTCGTTTTACAAACTAAATCTTCTTGTTATTCTTGATTGAATATTTTTTATTGAACAATACTTAAATGAATTTTTCTTATATTTTATAAGATATGACCAACAATACCTGCTTTGGTAATGATTTAAGTCGATTTATGCTTGATCAATTTCTTGGCTATCAAGAAATACTCATGTCCAGTATAAAACAATTAGCAGAAAAAGAAACACATAAAGGTATATTGTAGAATAAAATATTTTTTATCACTAATGATTCTTTTTATTCAGGTTATGTTCGTAATGTAATGACAAATGATCATTTTCGTTTTGTTAGTACATGGCAAAATCGTCGATGGTGGACATATTTAGTTGCTTTATGTATTATGATTGTATTTGTAAGTTATATCTATTTATATAATTACTTTGATTCCTTTTTTTCTCCTATTTTATTCATATTTAGACGGTTAGCATTTCGATGCTACTTCGTTATTCGCACTTTCAAATATTTCTCTTCATTAGTGAGTTAGAAAGATTAAATATATTCATTTTAAAAACATTTATATTTATTTTTCAGTTGATCTTTTACGTATGATTGAACATAATGCTTCTATTGTATTTCCAGCTGCACCATTGTTAACAGTTATATTAGCATTAATCGGTAAAACGTCCTTATCTTTTTTAAGTAATTTTCTACGACTTCTTTTTTTCTCGTACAGGTATGGAAGCAATTATGTCGGAATTTTTCAGTGATGCATCAACTGGTAATGAATGTGAACTTCTTCTGCTTTTTTTTATTGATACTATTATTCTTTCTTTAGCTTTTTATATTATTCTGATTGTATGGATATCAGATCAATATGATAGTATATGTTGCCATACATCAATAAGTAAACGTCACTGGGTTCGGTAAGTTGTTGTTTCTCTAAGAAAAAAAGATAAGATGATTGTGTTTATTTTTCTTTTAAAGATTTTTTTATCTGTATCATTTTGCATTTTATGCATATCATGCTCGATATAATGGTCAATATTCAGGTTTAGCATTAACAACAAGTTGCTGCTTTATTGCTCATTCGATGTTTTATTTTTTCCATCATTTTGAATTACCTGTTATCGAAGCTCAACTTGTTCATGTGTTTGTTGATGAACATATAATAACACAAACACCTCTACTAACAACCGAAAGAACTAGAGAAGAAAACTCACCAACAACAACATCTTAAAATCGTTTAAATATTAATTAAATGTACATATGATTTAATATTTCGTTTTCAACATACTTTTTTAAAATGACTGTATCAGTGAGCTTTTTATTTTTATCTTATGTTCATATATGTGTAGTGTTGTGACCAAATTTTTCTTTTTTATTTCTGTAAAAAGTATAAAAAACGTATGTATTGATAACAAAATATAATCCCATGCACACTCAGATATTGCGTTGTTTATTTTCGTAGTACTATCCTCGATTTAGAAAGGAAGAAAACTTTCTAGAAACATTCTACCGCGTTTACAGTGATCAACTAGAAGATAGAAATGAAATTATAGATAAACTAAATCTTTGATAACTATACAAAATGCGAGCATGATAATATCTATATTGTTTTTAATCTTGGAATTAATCGAGTCATCTTTGAACATTGTGCAAAACGTTTTTCGAATGAAATACAAAAAGTATTTTTATCATATTAATAAATATTAATAATTTTTAGCCTATGAGTAGGCAGATATACATACAGCTCAATTCTATGATCGCATACTTTTTTCATCGATCTGAAAAGTATTTCTACATGATTCATCAATGAGGGAAAAGCAAATTTACAGAATATATATACGTAGGTATAGTGGATATCTTTACATGCAACAGGTAAACATGGAAACTATTCAAGTGTTAAAATAATTGTACGAAAGAATACACAGCAAGATAACATCAATTATTTTGAATATCACGGGTCTTGAGAGTTGTTCGATTTTTTTGTAGGTTCTGTTGAAGTTTAATCACTTTTTATGAAGCTTTTACACGAAATGTGGCTTGGAAAACTATGTTAGCTAGTATCCATAGGAGATTACTCGACTGAGTAAGAAAAGAGATACTAGATCAGCACTGTTTCAACATTGTCTAGTTCTAATAATTGATACAGTTCGGTTTCATGAGATTTTCTTGATTTTGAAAATTAGTTAACGTTTCAGTTTTGTTCATGAACCAGACTATATCCATCTCTACGACTAGATTATTTCAGAATAGTACTGGGCTAATACGTCTGCTCTTGTTCACTCGAGTAATCTCCTATGGGTACTAGCTAACATAGTTTTCCAAGCCACATTTCGTGTAAAACCTTCATAAAAAGTGATTAAACTTCAACAGAACCTACAAAAAAATCGAACAACTCTCAAGACCCATGATATTCAAAATAATTGATGTTATCTTGCTGTGTATTCTTTCGTACAATTATTTTAACATTTGAATAGTTTCCATGCTTACATGTTACATGTAGAGATATCCACTATGCCTACGTATATATATTCTGTAAATTTGCTTTTCCCTCATTGACGAATCATGTAGGAAATTGATTGCTTTCATATAGGTAAACAGCTCATAAGTATTATTCCTAACAACCGTGTCATGCAGAAATTATTTTCAGATTCAACCAGCAACTTGTTTTAATGATTTCTGCGAGGAAACATTGAATATTCGTATAGAGAAAAATTATTAGATGGATATATTTTTTTTCTTATGGCAATGTCTATTTTTTGCGATCGATGAATAAGATAAAATATTCATCAAATTTCAAAATTCTCTATGTAATATAATAATAAAATCTTAATTGTGAATTGTTATATTTTTATTGAACATACAGTGACAAAATAAAAAGAAATTTTATCTATATTTTTGTTTTACGAAGTACAATCTTTACAACATTAGCGTTTTGTAAATGTGTTGATGAACTGTCTGAGACTTTTTCGGAAAGCAATTCCACTGAAAGAATACAGAAAAAAAATTATTGAATATGATGCATAAGCCATTGATTGTGTTAGTAAAATTGCTACATAAAATAAATGTATTGCTAATGGATCTCTCATTATTCTATCGTGTTGAAATAAAGACAATATTGTGTCATTCTTTGTTAGATTATTAATTTCATTGCGCGAAACATAATTTATTACTTCACAAGTTGTTAACTTTTTTGTTGTTAAATAAAGATCAATATCATTATGATCATTGAATACGGACGCATCAACGCTAGTATAAATCTTAAGTGCAATAACACACAAATGTGCTGGAGCTTTAAGGATGAGAAAACATATTGAAACAAGAACAAGCATACGTGTAACACGTATTGATTGGCATGCTCTTGCTAATGTTTGAGAAAAAAATTCCTTATCATTCGATTGATATGACAATTTTCTTGACAATGGATTAGAAAATGAATCAGATAATATATTTTTCTTAAAATGAGAGGCAAGTTTAGATAAGACAAATGGACGAAATCCAGGTTGAAAATGAGAATGACTTAATGATTTGTCTGGATGACTTCGGTCAAAGAGCTAAAAATAAAAAAGAATAGGTTAATCAAAGACGTCGAAGTATTTACTTCAAATAATTAAAAAAATTAGTCTTATAAGTCACGGTTATTCGACACCTTAATAATTTGATTTTTTAGTGACAAAACATTTTTCATTAGCACTGAAGATGCTCTTGAACTGTTCAGAAAGGTTATATAGTCTGTGTAAAACGAGCTTATTCATCATGAGAACACAAAATAAAACAAACTGCTAGTATATTAATTGAACATTTTTCATAAATGTAACGGTTCCTATCGAGCACTCAATTTAAAAGATGACTATGACATTGTAGGGTAATATAATAGGATAAAGTTAAATTCGTATAGATAAATATAATGAATAGATCCTTGTGATTTAGAGAAGAAAAAGAAACTTAAAAGAAAAAAACATTACGTTGACATGCGATTCTATGGTTTCGTTCTTCTTTTTTTATATAATAAGAGTTACTTTTAACGACTATAGGGCCTGTTTGTTTTTCCATCATTTCATCAAATTTCACTCCACGTAAATATATATATATATAGAATTCATATTCGAAATAAAGTAAGAGACTTAGGATGCATAAGATTGCAAATTAGGATAAGGTTAGAACATAAGGAATGTATAATTGGTTTCTCAGTTCAACTGTAGACATCTTAATTGGCAACATAGAAAACAGTTAGTGCGATAAAACGATATAGTAAGATCGTGCTATATACTAAGAAAATGTAATCAATCTGCACATCTTTGTGAATTATACATTTTAAATCTTATTGTAAATAATTCCTTTACAATACCATAAAACGGTTCATTGGGTATCGTATTTATTTAAGAAACTCTATTTTTATTAGCACTGAATGTCATAGTAAATATTTTAGTAATATCAACCAATATAACAATGAAAAATTTGCTTAAAATAATAATTTTTATTATACTTTCTGAATAATCATGAATATGCAACAAACAATACACAAATATTTTATGCAAAATTCTTGTTAACAAGAGTAGAAAAAATTTAATTAATGAAACTGAAAACAGAACATGTCTTTTATAATCTTGTTGTAGAAACTGGTTACAACTATTACATTTTTTTAAATAGGTATAAACAAACCATCGAAAATAATGTATGTTCATTATTTCTTAATTTTTCTTTTCATCTCTACTCTATCTATATTAATAATTATTTACCGATGAAATTGATGATCGTTTTCTTTGATGTTTTATTTCGACTGATGCTGTGGGATCTTCTTGTTTAAAGTTTGTCTCTATATTTTGATTTTCATCTGTATTAATACATGTACCATTGCTGTTTGTGAGATTATTATCGATGTCAAATGTACCATCGAGATTGTATATTTTGTCATTACTTCTTGAGTGTTGTCTTTTTCTCATTAATGTTGATTGTATACTAATAGGTGAACGTAAATGTTTACGAATAAAATTTACAATACGTATATTGTAAATTAATATAAGAGAAAATGGAATCACAAAAGAAAATAAAACATCAGTCATAAACCAAATAAGTTTTAATTCCTCATGACATTCTACATAGGTATTCCTATGGCATAACGTAAAACAAAATATTGAACTGAATACAAATATAAATAAGAGGGAAAGAATCGGAGGTGAACGACGATGAGCAGTATAAAGTTGAATAGTAAATGCAACAGTATAACATGCCGATAAAAGTTCAGCCAAATGAATAAGAAATGATACAACTAAACAGAGATGTGCATAATTTCCTTTGAAAATGTCATGAATTCCACGAATGAGTAACGAAGTATTGAAAAGAAGATCACTGCAAGCTAAAATACAAATAGGCATTCGTTTTTATTGATATTTTCTCAGTATCAATAACTTCAATTACAACTCGGTTGACGTACAGAAAAATAAATCAAAATTAAAACTCTTTTAAGAAACTTTTTTCTCATTCAACACAACTAAAAGTCTTTTCTAAATTTATTTTTGTTATTTTGTAGAGAAAAATTTAATTAAAATTGTAACAATATCCACTACTTCAGTTCAGTGCGCACTCGTATGTCAGAATGTTCTGCTTTCTATCAGACTAATTTCTTTTGCAATCTAATTATCAAGTCCTTTGATTAGACTTTGTCGCGTGAAAAGCTAAACTCTGTAGCATTAACTTGAGTTTCTTGTTTTTTTCTATATTTCCATTTTTTTTTCAATTCAATTATTATGAATAAAAGATATTCGATAAGTTTTCTGTTTATCTTAAATGAAAACTTTCTTTCATATATAATTGTCTCCAAACAGCACCGGATTAATTAAATGAAGGACAATTATCACTTTTAATTAACATATTATACTCATTGAATACAAGCAAAGACATTTTTATGACTTTATTATTAAAAAAATAATGAAGAAAAGTAAAATCTCCACCTCTATGAGCAATTCTCCGATTCGTTTTACTGGTGCTGAATGGTAGATTGTTATCTCAGAATAGATTTGAATCATTGACATGATTTTAGCGTCACATCATACTTTATTTTATTCATTTGTACACAGACGAGAAATTATATAATTCTAATCATCTATAATATCAATACAAACAATAATCTATTGCAATTAAATATTGCTCTCATGTAATAAATATCGGCTCAGTTATTTCCAAAAATAATTATACGAATTCTCACGAGGTGAAATGATTTCTTTTTGTAACTTCTAGGGTTCATCTTTATGGGTATAGACAATTTTTCTTTAAAGTCAGAATAGATATATTCTAGTTAAATAAAAATGACGTATTCTTATTTATATCTAAGGAAAAATCGAAATATCAGATTTGAAGAAACTATCGATTATCTTAAATCGAACATGCCTAATGCGATTAATGTCCATTTATTTTTCATATTTTTCGTTATGAAATTTTTTGACAAAAGAAGAACAGTAGATGTGTTAGTAACAAAACCAATAGTAGCTATTAGAAAAATATATGGAAATGAAATTTTAACAAAAATACTATGTATTATTCGAAATTGATCATAATATCGAGACAATTTCATTGATGTTGTTAATGTTGTTGTCATTATTTTCGTTGTTTCAATCGCTTACATATGAAAATCATGGAAATTTCTATTAGCATATACTCAATTGCATTGTCAAAGCTAGAATATGATAATCAACTGTAGTTATTATCACAAGTCTTTTCTCTCTTCTTCCTTATCCTCCACCATTGACTAGAACTTTTATTCAGAGTCTTTGCTTGTAGTTTTGTTTTTTCTTTTTCTTTTTCTTTTTATATTAACCTATGATGTATTAGCACCGGCATATCAGTGACATCATAGTGCAAAGAATAAATTTGTACTCTACAAGTCTTGAAAAAAAGAACATAAAATTTGAAAAACTTTTATTCTGCTACGATGTTTATTGTTTTCTTTTCTAATTACGAAGAAACTAATTTTAATTCATAGCTATTCCAGAAAAAGAAACAGAATCAAACAGAACATTTTTTTTCATTTACGATATATAGAATAATATTTCACGAAAGTTTCCGATCGATACTCAATGAAAATCTTACTTTTAAATAGATTATTATATAAATGAAGGATAAAATATCATTTTCATCAATGATATACTGCATAATGGGATAAATTTTGTTTTGATCGCCTGTCTAAAGTATAGAGATCTCGTACAAATCAATTTTATTTCAAATCGAAAGTGCTTGGCAAGTTTTGGATTAGTTTTTAGAGCTATTCGGAGTGTGTCAATATCTTTTCAACGGAAAGAGTTCAACAAAATAGTTTTTATACAAGAAAATAATTATCGAAAAGAGAAATTTTTGTATCTCTAGATAAAGAAATCGATTATTTTAGTGTTTTCTAAAATCGTCAAGCACAGATCTCTTCAAATCTTGGGAAAATTGCATAGCTTCTAATACTTGAAACTGATGTGGATAACTTACAATTACATCGAAGTACTTTTAAATTATCACGTACTTTTCTATAGTTTTAATGTATTGAAGTATTTTTCAACTCTTATTCAAATAAAAACTGATTTTGAACTTGTTCTGATTGATTTCTCTTGATGAACAAGCATTCATAAAAACATATGTGCACATTCATTGTCGATTAAAAATGTACTCGGACCACAAAGAGGTTTCTTATTTCATAAACGATTATTTGATGTCGAACAGTCTGAACTCAATGATAATATTAGATTCTAAGTTACATACACAGTATATAGATGAAACGTAGCTCACACACCATTGATTACGTATTGATATGTAAAATTAGTTTATCGCGAAGTATCTATGTCATGCAAACCATGTATATCTCTGTTGTCAGCTGAAGAAGATTTGTTGTTTTATTTTCCTAGATTTTTAGTTATGAAGAAAGTAAATTATTTTTCATATGGAACAATAGTGAGTTGTTGTTTTATTAACATTGATACTAGCGAAGAGAAAAAGTTATGTCAAATAGACGAAGCGAGAAATTTCAGTGCTATTGATCTTAATGAATGATATGCTATATGATAGAAATTTCATTGCAGTGAAAATCATATAGACACGATCAAACTTCTTCTTTTATTTTTTTTACATTCAATAAAGAATATCTTCCAACTAAAATATTTTTTCTCGTTCTCTCGAGTAAATGCTTTTTTACACAAAAATTGAATGACAAGCACTTGAGACATCTATTTCAACATGGAAGAAGTGATATATAAAACAAAAAACAATGTTCAAATATCTTTTTATTTCTTTTAGTATTAACTAGAGCCGTTCAAAGTAATAATCGATTAAACTATCATAGAAATAAGGAAGTTAGTTCTTGAAAAATCACTCACTATACTTGTGTACGATTTATCCAAGTAAATTGTGTGCATTGAAAAATATTGGTTCAACCAGTTCTAGCAGGCTCTACTATCAGTATCTGAAGTTATTTTCAAATATTGCGGAGAAAGAATTAAATGTAATCTAAATACTAAGACTCGCGACAGACAACATGGATGTGATGCTCCGCATCATATTAAAAATAGTTCACATCATCATACAGTGATATCATTGTGAAATACTATATTTTTCATTAAGTTTCAAGATTAAGGAAGTTCCATGTGCTGGAAAATTTTCATTTCTCTCAAAATAAAGGATTATCAAGATAAAAATAGATAGATATGACTTTATTTGTCTACTTAAGATATTTATTAAAACACTTTTTCATGTTGAAAAGTTTTAAAGTAGTGTACTAAATGTTTTTAACGTTACTCATGGTAATATTCGTAAGTGAATAAAGGTTATAAGCAAATAAAAACTGTGATGAATTCACCTTCTAGTAGCTATACGTGCTGCTAATATCCGGATCACTAGAGTCTTGGTTAACTTTTGCAACTGATATATGATGTCTGCATAATTCAAATTGATTTTAACAATGGGCTGAATAAAAACAGAAAAACTTTTTTTATTTTCTGCAAAGGCAATTTTGTAGCAATGGTTAACCTTTGTGTTAATTTTTTATTTTTAAATCTTCTACTCCAATAAATTGTAATCTCTTGTATTATTTAGATACTTAATATTTATGAAGAAATAATAAAATAAATATTACCATGTGATTTTGATTCTTTAGAAAATCTAATTGTTTTGAAAAACTTCTTTTCATATTACAAACTTCTAAAGACTTTTATGCTTACTATAATTGCAGAGAGCAGCAACAAAAATACCATAGTGTCATACGCAATGATGATCAATCTTCTTTAAAATAAAAGTTTTCTCGATGCTGTATTGTCAAATATACAGTAGAAATTACTCGACGATAGTGTCCATTCTTTATCTTGATCTCGAAAAACATATTCGAACTTTCGATAATTGTCTTGATAATGAATTCAGTTATGTTATTAAAAACGGTTAATTTCGAATTGTAATGTTTTTGTAAGATACTCCTTAGCTGATAAATATTTATCAACATTTTTCCTAACGATGAATTAGAAAATCTTATATTCGATCAATGAAACAGTGTTAATAAATTTAATGATAGAGCCGAAGTACAGAAAAAACATGAATAATCATACTGCTTACAATGCTAGCCTATCAGCAAATGACTCAAATGACAATGTCGATAATTATGATGAATAATTAATATAGATAATTACCACTGAATTGTCTTATCACTATCCATAACAATTGCGTTTAAAAATGCACGCCACAATAATTGTACGAAGAAACCCACTTGGATAGCATAAATACGTAAACGAAATTTAAAGATATCATAAGTATTAGAGAAAATCCAAAAATCAATATAAAAACCAAGTGTTCTGTTGTACAAATTTGGATCTTTCTAAATATCAATACTTTCAAATAGAAAGATACTATTTTGACTGTTTTACATAATATGCGTGTCGTGTTTTGTAAGAAATAACTAATTGAAACTATATTCAAAGCTCATGGGGTCAAGAAACACCAACGAGGGGAATATAATGCATGATCGTGTTTTCGATTTCAATTGTACAATATTTAAAACATTACATTAAAAAATACTCTATAAGATAAAGCATAAAAACTTTACAACTTATAATCAATAGTTACAAAAGGTAATTAGTATTGATCAAAATTATAAGATCAATTAAAATACTACCTCTTTTTTTTAGAAACTCAGGAACATATTTAACAAACAATCAATAAAAAACATATGATATTGAAGAATCATATTTTGAATTAATAGTTTTTATTAATTATTTTGCTTGCAAAGTAGAGAGATATCAAATATAAAGGATACAGACATTCTACAATTGTTGCCTTCTAAATGTGATATGATTGATCAGTAAAGTGTAGATACGATCTGCATCAGCTAACTTGTGTTCCATTTCCCTTTTGTTTG